CACCCCAAAACCCCAAAACCCCAAAACCCCAAAAAAATCATAAATATTGAAACTCAATTATTTTATATAATAATGATAAAGAACTACCAGAGGAAAATGTCCAGGACATTTTACGTTAAGAACAAGTAAGGCTCTTTTCATCCTGCAGGAAGCCTAAACTCTTGATCAAGCAAAACCAGCATAGTTCAAAATAAAATATTCGCAAAGCTGAAATCAACTGATAATATTGGAACCATTCAGGATAAATAGCCCACAAAAGTCTATGAAGAAGAAGCCAAATAGGCTAAGAAAGGTACGAGGCTGTATTCATTAGGATTCTTGGGCTATTTAGCTCCTTCTTGGGTACATTGTTATTTCTGTAGACGATAAAGTCTCCAGATCCACTCCATCTGCGTCCAAGCACTACATTGGTATTCAATAATTTCTGCAATTCTGGAAGAAGAAAGGTCATAAAACTCCGTAAAAACAGCTTCAGCCAGTCGTTCTTCAACCCGAATAGTAACTATAAAGCATGTATTAACTTTGAAGAACGCAGAGGCTGGGAGACAGTCTTCGGCTGCATTTCCAAAAATGTAGATCAAGAGAAGATCGGCTCTGTAATAAAGGAACTAAGCAACCAGAAGCAATAGAAATGTCTGCTAAGAAGAAGCCATGTACAGGTAAGAATTTTTAACATAAGCTGATTACTGATTGTAGTCAGTCTTACCTCAATATTTATATTGTCATAGAAAATTGCTTGGCAAGCACGGGAAATCTCTTGGCGATATTATTAATGCACTAGAGATGGCCAAGAGAATTCTAGTTGCATTCCATCTCTTATATATTTCCTTACAAACACCATAAAATCTTTTCTAGGCTTATCAAACAAATATCTAGAGAAGCGCAATCAAGTTCTGACCCTAAAACAGAAATTTCCAAAAACATCTGGGAACAGACAAGCTAATTCAGATCATGACGAAACAAAAATAGCAATAATCGACTCAGACTCAGAATTTAATAGTGACCAAGAAAGTGTGGAAGAAACTAAAGAGGTCAAGAGGCCAGCCAAGCCAAAAAGAGAAATAGGGAAGAATCTTCGTAACAATATGAGTCTCAAAACTCGCTCTTCTCGGTCTCATAAGTCTCCAGTAAGACCTTCACAGCCTAAGGATATCTTGAAAAGGAGCAACAGCAAAAGGAACAAAGTGTACCTGAAAAAGACTACAGGAACAGGCCTTCATACTATTGATGAACTTGAGAAGCATTCTAAAGTTCCCAACTTGCTAGCTGCTAAAGGACATCAGACCCTTAAGCCTAGTCTGATCAACAAACCTTTACACCAGATGTCTCAGTGAGAACTAGTAAATCACTTAATGGACACTTTACGGTTAAAACTGGACTCTCTGCTTCATTTAAAGGCTCAAAACGAGGTGACTTCTTACTACTGAATTCTATGAAGGAAGTCAATCCAGATCCTGAAGATCTATAAAGAGTTGTGGAAGTGCCTCATACCGTCAGAAAGTGAGCTTACGAAGGTAAGTCAAGCTCCTGAGGTATAGCAAAGGTTAAGCAGCCAGCAGGCTGGGCCGTCGATCGATCCTAAATGATCATCTTAGAGATTAGTAAGCTTGCTTTCCCGTTGCTCTAGAGACCTACCTCATGGGGTTGTGAACAGCCTTGAGTTGTGAAGCTGTATTTGATCATCCATTTTCGTATAGCATGAGCCCATAAGTGAAGAATCACCCTGCTCAAATGCCTTGACAAGGTCGAAGAGATCCTGAAAGGATATGACCTTGAATTCCGACAAATAAAATGACTTATATCCCAGATTCGGATTATAGAAGGCCGAATCGCCTCTCCAGGCATTTTTATGCGGAGACGAAGAAGAGGAGAATTAGGGTAGGCTATAGTGGATGGGATGGAAACAGTCAATATTTGACTTTTTCTGGGTATTAACCATTTTCTGAGCTCTGAGACACATGAATTCTGTATATGTTTTATTCGTTTACAATAGTAAAAATGCGTTAAGAACTTATATGATAGCAATACTAACTTCAAAAGTATTTTTACTGTTTACCTAAAACAAAGATAACAACTTTCCTTTATATTAGCAATAATAATAAAAAATCTAGAAATCCAACAAATAAGCGAAGAAAGAAGATAAAATCAGCAAAGAAAAGGTTCATCAGCTTCTCTCCAATCAGACCATTCTCTTCCCACAACCCTTAATCCCCATTAAAACACTTCAACTTCACCTCCCATAAAGGGGTTTTGGGGTTTTGGGGTTTTGGGG